AATCAAGCTATATAATAAATAGATTTTATTCAAATAATAAATTTATCTATAAATTATATTTAATCAGATAATAATATTTAAATTTTAATATTTTATATCTTTATATGATAGTTTTTTTATGTTTGATATCTTGATACCTTTATTTGATATTATGTTAGTCATTATCGCATACAACCATTTAAAATTAATAAGTTAAAATACTCACACTTATCTTCTCTTCTTTAAACATTTTTTATGACAAAAAAATTTGTCTTACGTAATTTTGATAACTTTTAAAAGTAAAACACTTACTTTACTGTTGGCAAAGTGGTTTTGCCTCGACACAAGTTCATACTTGGCCCAGTATTTCCATTTTTTTCAACAAAGCATATATAATATATATATATATATATATATATATATATATATATACTTATCAAGCAAATATACGTATCAAGGCTGGTTTATTTTTATAGTTTAATTTAACTTTGTTATAGTAATTAAATACTTATGTTAATTATAAATAAATTAAAAAAGATAAATTATTTTAAAATTAATTTTAAATTAAGATAAAGTGATACACATGATAAAAGAATTTCATTAAAATTTAAATTGATTTTTGATTAAAATTTAAAATTTTAGATAATTTAATAATATTTAAAATATATAAATATTTAATGTGTCATCATAATGAAAAGTTTTAAGATTCATTTTACGCGTGAAAAAAAAATTATGTATATAAGCGTCCACGTCAGCAATTGCTATCTGGTAACTATGTATGTTGTAATATAATATATATATATATATATGATTTAACCTGTTTTACCATGCATTCTTTTCAAAAAAGGTAAAAATTTTTACAGTACTATGATGATCTGTGAATAATATGTACTCTTATTAAAACTCGTTAAAAAAACTGAAATCATTAATATGGCAATACTATTACTCTTACTCCTCTATATATATCAACTGTTAAAACAAGCAAAATGTAATTGGCAGTTAATGAAAAAAATTGAGGATATGTTAATGGTTGTGGTTTATAAGTAAAGATTTGAACATATATTTATACGATATTTTATTTATAGGTTTTTTAAAAATAAAATCATGAAATTCAATAACTCAAAGTAGATAATATATTATAAGTTAGTGTGAATCTTGTGAACTTTCACACCTTTCTTCTTTAGAGGATTTATATATTCTTTGAAATTAAAATCATATCTAATTGTATTTGATGATTTGATATATATATATATATATATAGTGATAAGTGCATATACTTATGGTTTAAAAAGCAAATTCAAACTCTTCTTTTTTAAAAAATAAAAAAATCGCATAATTTATCTTTAGGAGGAGCAATTTGAAAACAAAAAGGCTCATGAGTTCATAATAACCAACAAAAAAAAAAAATCAAATCTTCAAACTATAGAACTAACCTTCACCTCAATCTTACAAAGATTTTTTTGTTTTATTTTTAAATTGAAATAACAATCTAACAAAGAGTTATAAATGCCATAGGTCAAGTAGGTATAACTCTTGTGTTGGACTTCTTTTACTTTTACTCATAATCCATACTTCTTAAGTAATTAGTTAATTATGATTCACATCATATTGGTTTGATAAAAAAAAGACCAAATAAAACTATATAAACTACTTACTAAGCCAATGTCAACCAAATGTTACAATGGATAGACAAGCTATGTGATATAGGAGAAAAAAAAAACATGAAGTTAAAATAATAATTAAACCTATCCATGGGTTTGAAGACTCATCATCCCTAGAAGCGTAAACAAAAAAAGCTTTCGATGAATTGTTTGTGAATATGTTCAGTTTCTATTCGTTTATGTTCGTTTACTAAGCTTAACAAATTATCTTAAACACCATTTGTACATTCGTATTAAATGAATCGAACATAAATAACTGTTCATTCGTTCATTTATGTTTATGAACAAACTCGTTTACGATTCATTTCAAGCTCATTTGTTTATTGTTCGTTTATTTGATAATAACAATAATAATAAGTTAATAACAATATTACAAAAAATTTAATAGAGGTTATTGAAAGTATTTCTGGCTAAAAACACATTCAATAATCCATTCTAAAATTTTTTGTATGAATTATTAAAGGTATTTTTAATCAAAAACGCCTTCAATAATCCCTTCAAAAAAATTTTGAGAGGATTATTGAAGATGTTTTGACAAAAAATATTTTCAATAATCTCCTCAAAAATTTTTTATAAAAGATTATTAAAGGCGTTTTTGTAAAGAGATTATTGAAGGTATTTTTGGATAAAAAAATATTCAATAATCCCATCGTAAAAGTTTAGAGGGGATTATTGAAGGCGTTTTTGACCAAAAATTTCTTCAATAATCCATTCCAAAATTTTTGTTTGAATTATTAAAAGTATTTTTAGACAAAAACAAACTGAACACAAATGAACGTGAACATCTTATTATTTAAACAAATCGAGCTCAAATACAATTAACAAATTTTTTATCAAACATGAACCGTGTTTGAAAAGTTCTAACAATAAACGAACAAATCTCGAACATATGTTCGTTCGTTCATGTTCGATTTATTTACAGTTCTAACCATCCTTACAGGTTAAGCTTTAGACTTAAATTTGCAAGTTCGGGCCTTAAACACTATTTATTTAGTAAAAAATATATCTTATTTATTTTTATTTTAAAATAATCTTTAAAATGTTAAAATATTAAAATTAAAATAATTTTAATGTCTTAATAAATTTTTAAAAATATTAAATTTAAATAAATGGACTTGGGCTGATAAGACTTAAGCTCAACGTTAGCATTTAAAGGTGCCAATAGGCCAACACTTATAACTGTAATTAATTTTACTATGATAAAGGTGTTCTAGAAATGTATGCATAGAATCAAGTAAATAGTTATAGGAATTAACAGATCGATCAAATTGCAAACTAAAAAAATTTGTACAAGTTACGCTTTTGTCATTATTTAGCAAAAAATTATTAGACATGAATATATTATATGTATGCGACTTAATTGGCGAAGGTAAAATAATATTTTCTTAAAAAAAGCATGTGTTTTTTAATATCGTATAAAAGATATTTTTATTGCGAATGAACAAGGTATTGAAAAATTATTCATACATAAAATCATAATTATTAATACTAATCTTTTCTCCATAAAAGGAGAATCTTTTGTTATAATAAAAACAGAAGTGATGTGGATTATTCAAAAATTGAAGTTGATTTGCTTATGACAAAACTTACATTAAATTTTTTAAATTAAGTTTATGAAAATTTTTTAAAATGATTCAATAAAAATTTTAATAAAAAATTTAAATTAATAAATTGATAAAGTTTAATGTAAAAATAAATAATATGTAAAAAATTATTAAAAAGATTATTAATAATTCAAATTTAATCATATTTCTTTAACGATAAAAATTCTATCATCATTTTTACTAAAAATATCTATCTAAACAACATCAAAATTTATTAAAAATTTTTAAATTTTTTGCACACTTAATTTATGTAACAATACATTTTAATTATTAATTTTGATTTTATTTTTGATTTTCATTAAATCATTTTTTTTTAATTTTATGAATTTCATCTAAAAAATTTTATTTAAATTTTTTCCTTTGACTGAAAAGCATTTTTTTTGAAAGGCTTAAAAACAAATTTGAAATTTAAATAAAATTAAATATTTTTGCTAGATAAAATATTTTAGGGATGCTGGATAAAATAATTTGCATATAAGCAAAGAAGCATATATTTGTGTAATCTTTCTTAAAATGAAAAACGATTCACAACTAAATTTATAATAAAAATTTTGAAAAGAAACTGAAAATAAAAGAATACATAAATTAAGAATTGTGGGATCCTAAGGCTAGTGGGGGATCATAGGGATGAGGCATGATCAGACGGCGTCACTACAGCCAAGGGACAAACCCTCCTGCCAGGCTGCCACTGACCCTCCTCAACGACGGCGTTTCAGTCGCTCCTTGTCGGCTTGTCTGTTTCCCTTTTCATGTCACTGGCTAAACCCTCTTATTATTATCTCATTAAAAGAAATAGGAAGAAAGCTTTATAATTACTTGCCGCTTAATTATTTATTTAGGGTTAATTATTTTTTCAGTTTTTGAATAAAATTTTGTTTTTTATTTGCATTCTGAAACTGAAAAAAAAAAAAAAAACCGTACTCAGTACAATGAGGCTCACGCGTTTAAAGATAAAAAGAATAAAATAGAACACCAAAAAGAAAACATCAGTTTTTTTTTTGAAGGGCTGTTCTTTGTTTCCTGAAGAGTCTAAAATTGGCATTAGCATAAGGGAATCCTTTTCTGTTGGGATTTTTTGGTACTGTTTCTTATAAAGGGTCCCACCCCATCCAAATTTACACTAATTTCTGATGTCTGATCTCCGATCTGCAGCAAACTCTTTTTTTTATCTGTGCTTAGTATACATTGATTTTCTTCATCCTTTGACTGCATGCGCGTGTTAGCTTGAAAAAACCAAAAGGGTTTCTTTATTTAATTAAAAAAATCAAAACTCAACGATATGTGTATATGTTTTTGGTCTGCAAGGTCGAAGAAGGCATGCCTATAAAGGTAGATGATTAGAGAAGGGTACACAATTGGAGGTTAAAATTGGCAGAGCTCAAGCACTTCAGGTTTTGCCGGGAAGTACTACTCAGTTTCAGGTACTAGCTCTCTTCTCTCTCTCAGGTTTCATATTCCTTTTCATATCTTTGATTATCTCTCTCTAGGTGTTTCTTAATTTGTTTTATTCTTTCTTGGTTCTATAAAAATATCACCATTGTTTTTGCACTACTAGCAATCAACCATGTTTCTTTTTTATTCAAAACAAACAAAAAATATTACTTCTTTTGGGGAATCACTTTTTTTTTAGCAAGTTATATATATAAAAATGTAAAAGTGATAAGTGTCAATTGTCACTTTTTTTGCTTTATCTTTCCATACTCTGCTTCAAAACATATGTACTTACAAAAACCCTTTCATTTCACATTCTTTTTCACGTCTACTCTCATTTATTAGTAGTAGTTTTGACCATCCCCTCCCTCTCTTCTACCTTTAAAAGCCCTCTTTAGCTTCTTCTTCTTCTTCTTTTGTTATTGTCATCAAACCCAAAGATGCAGGTGGCAAAGAAAACTGGCAATCGAATGGCAAGCAACATAGGGATAGGGAGCGAGGCATCAACAACTACGATGAAGCTTGACAATTCATGCGAGATAGTGAGGCAGCTGGCTTCCACCAACGCAGTAGTCCTGTTCAGCATGAGTGGCTGTTGCATGTGCACTGTGGCTAAACGCCTCCTCTTCGGCCTTGGCGTTGGCCCCACCATCATCGAGCTCGATCACCATGTCGATGGTCCTGACATCCAAACTGTCCTCTTTCATCTTGTCGCCAATGGTCAACAGCCTGTTCCTGCTGTGTTTATTGGTGGCAAGTTCCTTGGTGGCATTGAAACTCTCATGGCTTGCCACATCAACGGCACATTGGTCCCTCTCCTCAAAGAAGCTGGTGCACTTTGGCTTTGATTTTCTCGTTTAACACTCCTATATTTCTCACCAGTTACCGGAAATTTCTAGTCTATCTAGTCCTAGCTGACTCTTATTTATTATATCAATTAACTTTTATGTTTATATATATATATGTGGATTATGATTTGCTATCTCTTCTCTTTTTCCCTTTTTATCTTTTAAAATAGAAGGGTTTTAGAATTGTGTAGGCTTTCTCTTTCAACAATAACTAGCTAGCTAGGGTTGCTTACAGAGTACGGGGTGACACCGATGTGAGCTGAGCTTTGTTCTTGCTTGTCAGCTTCTTTGTCCTCAGCATCAAATTAGAGAATTTCTCATCTTACAAAACCTTAATTAACCTATTAATATTAGTATTACTACTTAAATTCTTGCTTATAGAAATCCATGACTTATGGACTCGATTTTTCAATACTTGGCTATATGATCATCGTCGAAGAAAGAAGAAATAATTTTCTAATATTCTTTAATTCTTTCTATATTGTCAAAAAAAAAAAAAAGCATGCAACGAGCTGCCGGAATATATGTTAAAGTGATTGCGCGCCGGCGATGGGATAAAAGAAGATAGAACCAAAAAAAAAAAAAAAACCGTACAAATATCCATCTGGATACTGAAGAAAAAAAAATGGTGACATATCATATTCCCTATAATAAATGCTAATCTCATGAGAAATCCCTCAGTTCACTAACGGTATTTTCCCAGGAGAATGATGGGTTAATCAACATTAGTTGTGTTAACAAACCTCTCTCTCGGTAATCTAGGTTGTCAGTGCTAGTCAGACGGCGTGAAATAAAAAGACTTTTTTTCTTTTTTTTTCATTTGCACTCTCTTGACTGGTAGGAGTACAGGGGGAGAAAAAAATTAAAAAAAATTTAAATTTGATTTTAAATTATAATATTTTGTTTGATTTGTAACGATTTTTTTATTAGGTTTAGATTAATATCGAATATTAAATGTATATATTAAATTTGGATTGAATTTTAGATCGGAATATGAAAAAAAAAAAATCGAATCGAATTAAATTATATATTTTTTAAATTTTTATAAAATAAAATAATTATTTATATATAAATTTATTTAAATATAATAAAATTTTTATTAAATTAATATATAAAAAATTAAAATTTAAAAATTGATAAACCGAATTGAATAGATAAATTTTGATTCAAATCAATTCGGATTTTAAAAATTCAAATATTATATATTATTTTGAATAATCAATAGAATATAATTTAATCTAAACTATTATCAATTTTAAATATGAGTTTTTCTTTTTTTTTTTTTGGTGGTAATATGAGTTTTCCCTCTAATTAAAGCAATTTAATCTGAAAAATAAATGTTTGATTATGATTGATTATTTTCATAATTCATAATCTAGTTAATTTGTTAGGTAATTTTTTGTAAGTTCTTCACTTTAGTTTCTTGATTAGTTTCACCATCACTAACGAAAATGCCATGTCTGACTGTCTTGCTCATGCATGCAATCAAGTAAAAGCTTTTTCACTGTCTGAGTACGTACTTAGTTCTGTACCAACGAGTTATTATGTTACATTAGATAAATATTCGTCACAGTAATTAACATGTTTAATTATTCAAGTGATCAGAGAGGGAGGAGGTCCGGAGATGGAGAGAAGGCAGCTGGGGTGGTGCAGATGGAGCAGCAGGAGACAAGGGCAGACATAGGTAGCAGGAAAAATGATTACATGGCGAAACTAGCAATCATATTCCATTTTTTTTTCCAAATGGGTTTTCTAGAATTTATGAAAAATCCCTTTGTGAAATCATAGTCCCTGTAAGAAGGATATGATTGTGTATGAGAGATAAAATAGTTGACCATGATTTTCTCATTTTCCTACCTGTGGCCATCAACAGAATCATCATGAAGAAGAGACTATTTACTTTGGAGTTTTTCATTTTCTTTTTCCTCATTGCCTGTCTGTCAAACTTATCTGACACTTTGACTGCTATATATATATATATATCCAACGGTCATTGATGCTATAGCTGATTTACTTTTTCTTTACCATGAGAGCCAACGGTATTTGAACAGATATTGAAGCGGATGATTAGAGCCCAAGAAATTTCTCTGGTCTCTTTATCTGAATTCCATATGAGTTTGTTACAAAATTTCCCTTATTATATGAGGTCCTGTCCTTAATGTCAAATATGGAGAAAATGCATACATCTTCATGCCCCAGGTGGTGGTTCAAATAAAATAACTTTTTGTGCGCGTGTGTGTGTGTGAAAATTCCCAGGCAAATAGGTTGTTTCAAGTCTCGGACTTACCCAGGTTAAGGGAAAACATGCAACTCAGAAAAGCATTATTATTTGCATTCATTATTAGCACTAAAGGAGACCATCGGTAAACTTAAATGAAATTCTTTATATGAAGTTCGAGAAAATTTCTACTAGGAATGATTAAATAAAAGTTAAAGTCGAAAATTAAAATTAATAAATTAAAATATCTCATTACATAGATTAAATGTGCATATTTTGATATATATATATATTTGATAATTATTTTTAGTAAAAATATTGACAAAATTTTTACTATTAATAAGCATTGATCAAATTTGAATTATAAATAATATTTTTAATAATTTTTTTTATATATTATTAATCTTCACATTAAACTCTATCAATTTATCAATTTAAATTTTTCATTAAAACTGATATTATATCATTTTTAAGAAGGAATTTTATAAATTTTACTTAAAAAATTTTATGCAAGTTTTGCCCCAAAAAACCATAGTGTTTGAACTCAAATCGACTCATAAGAACGTGAATCTTAATGGTAAATAAAACACATTTTTTTATATAAAAAATCATAGTTTGAAAATAAAAGAATAATTGTAAGTGTTGAAATTCAACCTCTAAATTTGAATGTCACATTTTAATCAAACACATATTTAATCACAAAGTGAATAAAAAAAACTTTTACATTTTTTGTGAAAATTTCAAGCTCTAAAAAAATTAAAAGGTTATCACATACTCTTTTAAGATGTATTAAAAGATAAAAAATAATATTATAAAAATAAAACAATCTTTTAATATCGCTTTTAAAATTTAAAAATTCAATCAATAATGAATAAAATATAATATTTTAAAAATTACCTAATACATATGATTATCAAGAAAATAATTACATTCCCTTAGTTCTTTAGGTTACTTTTTCTTTTATCTCTTGAGAATGAAAAAAAAAAGTCTATAATGGAATGAGCATGGTTAAAACAAACAATTTGTCTACAAATTTTAACTTTGATAATACAACAAAATGCCACTAATAGTAGTTGATCTTTGCTCAGTCCAATCAATCTTAGCCCAAAGATGATTAGGTCAAATCTTAACCCAACACCAAATATTAAGCCGATTCAGTCTTATAGTCCAAAGGCCGTAGCCCAGTTCACTATTGCTTCCAATTTTTATGTTTATATTTATTTATTTATATTTAAAGTATATCGAAAATAACCTCCAAAGGTTCCTATCATAAAGTAATTTCAACTATTATAAATATATTAATTAATATTTTTATTATAAATATATGACTCATCTCTCATCCTAGTAGATTGTGTATTATACTGATTTCTTTGTTTTTAATTAACTTTTAAAAAGACACATTTATTATATGATTAACGAAAATTATATAAATTATTATTTTAAAAAATAATAATTAAATAAAAAATTTTATCACAATAATTATAAATCCCGTTGCATAGCATGGGTATGGTTCGAGTTTATTTTGATTATTGCATGTTTATTCATTAATTAATAATTTTTAAGTACTACATTTCTCTTTTTTTTTGGTTAATGAAATATGGTCAACGACGAGTCACCCGCCATTTTGGCCAAAAATAACGTAGATTGTCAAGAAAAGCGGTCAAAAAACAATTCTTTCCAATCGAAGGTTCCTGTTCGTGTTCCACCTATTTTAATTGTCGACGTCATATGTTTCGGTGCACCCTCGATCACCGAATATCTCCCCCATTGATTTTCTGAATGTTGCCCATGGTTTGAAACCGTAAAGAGGAGACAGAAAATAAAAACCATCAATAAAGAGACTAAACGCCCACAATTTTTTACACCGTCTTCATCGGCTTCTTGATCCCCTTTTCAAATTCAAGATTTTCAAGCATTTTCAACACCAAAATCTTCTCTTTAAATATCACAACAGAAAAAGCCCAGTAATTCATCACCCTTTACGATTCTATTCTGGAAAAGTGCTGTCTGTTCCGAACTTGCTCTTGTTTTGTTTTCATTGCAGGACACAAACAAGGTTTTTCAGGGTTTTACCAATCTGGGTTTTTTTTTTTTTTTGTATTTTGTTGAGAAGGTGGTAGGTGGTGGAATCAGAGGTAAAGAAGAGCAAGAAGAGTGAGAAAATGAGGTGGAGATGGGTGATCGGGGCTTTCATTACAATTGTTCTTGCTATTGCTTTGGCTTCAAGGAGTACACCAAAGATCTCTCTGTTTGGGCATACCAACAAGTCTTGTCATTGTTCTCAGGTTTCACTTCCTCTCTCTTTTTACTGTTTCGCTATTTTTAGGGGACTTCAGAAAAATGGAAGGCATCGTTGGAATGATATGAAAAAAGAAATCTTTTTTTACTTTGTTTTTTGTCCAATTGGCGCGAAATTCAACTACCCATTTCTGTATTATTGTGATCCTATCCTTTGGTTTGTAAATTTCTTGTTAGTGTTTAGATGAATTTGTTAAAAGGTGATGCGGTTTGTCTCGTTTTGTTTGGGCACTAAGAAAATGATGGAAACTTAAAATGAAATGAAGAGAAAGAATTTTTTTTTTACTTTCTGTGTTCAATTGATGCCAAAATCAAGTACCCTGTTTCACATTTATGTATGCTGGTGATCCTACTTTTCGACTTATGAACTTCTTAGCAGCTTTTATATGAATACATTGAAAAGTGTTGTCATTTGTGCTTTTGTTGAACCCCTCTTTTTCTTTTTTAGGTTGAATGATGAAATGGTTGACTTTTTGTTTGTATAGCAATGACTTTTTTCTTGAATTTGTGCAGGAACACAGGTATAGCGGGATCGTAGAGGATTGTTGTTGTGATTATGAGACTGTAGACCATCTTAATGTGGAAGTATTACATCCATCGCTTCAGGAACTCGTTAAAACTCCATTTTTTCGGTACTTCAAGGTTAGGTTATTGCCCAATGCCCATTTTATGATGGAATTATCATGTGAATGTCTTATTTTATTATTTTGGAGATAATTTTCACAATGTTGATGTGGGAACTGGAAAGTTTTCCAGTTTCCAATATTAATGGTTATTATTACAGATAATTTGGGGGATTACCAGATAAGTGGTACGGCAAATAGCCAGTTTAGCAGCCATAGCCTACCGTTCAGTAATTATATATTCTGTCTATGCATTTAGAGCTCCATTTCCATTTATCCAGTATATTTTTAATGCAATACTCATACTTGCATTACTTATAGAGTGAAAAGGAAGCATTTCGAAGATTTATGCATGGAATGAAAAATGTCACACTAGTTTAAGTTGTTGAGAAGTCTAGTTATTATGATGCTTATGTGGGACAAACTTAGGGCATAAGAATATGTTCTCATTTAAAACCTTTTATTTTAATGTATCTTAGCATGACAAGGTTATTTCATATGCTGTATTTGAAATTCATGCTCTATTTTAGGTCCCCACCTGATTTTCTTTGAAGCCTAGATTTTTCTATTGTCTTGGGCAGGTCAAATTGTGGTGTAACTGTCCATTTTGGCCTGATGATGGTATGTGCCGTTTGCGGGATTGTAGTGTTTGTGAATGTCCAGAAAGTGAATTCCCTGAATCATTTAAGAAGCCCTACCATCGTGGCCTTCCATCAGATGACTTTAAGTGCCAAGAAGGAAAGCCTCAGGCTGCTGTTGATCGCACGCTAGATAGTAAAGCTTTTAGAGGGTGGACGGAAACAGATAACCCCTGGACTTATGATGATGAGACAGATAATTGTGAGTCTGAATTTGTTCTTGGCAGTTCTGACATACTTCAGTTTTATTTTTGACCTGTTTTTATGTATTAGATGCTCTCAAGCTCAGTGCTTATGTCCTTCCGAATGATAATTAGAGTTCTTTGCAATAAGTTAAGATTCAGTGTTGCTTTCTTGGCAACGCTAGTTATGATAAGACTTGCAGTGAGAGCGGTGGTGTTTTAAACATTAATATTCCAAAAAAATGATCCTGCAAATTATTTTACAATTTCATTTTGCAGCTGAGATGACATATGTGAATCTTCAGCTGAACCCCGAGCGCTACACTGGCTACACCGGTCCATCAGCTAGAAGGATATGGGATGCTGTCTACTCAGAGAACTGTCCCAAATGTGAGTTCTCACTACTCCTTTTACATGCGTGTGTGAATGAAGGATGCCTAAGCATTTTTTGTATGTTTAGAGGCATTATGCCCTTATCTTCATAGCAATTGATTTAGGAGTAATAACTAAACGTGTCGAATATCCCTTTTTTTTTTTTATTGTTGTGCTGCATTCTGTCCTTGTGTGCTAGATTCTACCTTATGACATGTTCATTAACCTTGCGGCTTATGGAGCTTGTACAGAGTTTTCTTCTCCTGATCAGAACTTGCTACATAAAATCTTTATTAATGTTGATATTTTTGGAACCAAGTTTAGCCAATGATACAAGTGTTTCAGGCTTTTGACTTAAATCTTCCTATTCTCTGTCTCTTCTCTCTCTCTCTCTCTCTCTCTCTCTCTCTCTCTCTCTTGTACACACTTGCACACTCACTTATGTACTGGGTTTTCTAATGCCTGGTAATGAACCTCCAATGAACAGAATTTAAATTGATTCTATTTCTATTTTGAGAACTTATTAATTACTGTGGTAGGCACGCTTGTTGTTCTTTGAGTCCGCTTAGTTACAATTGTCCTTACTGGAAGATAGGAATATTCTGATGAGTTCCCTTTTTTGTCACAATAAATTTTTATTTATTTTTACTCTGATATGCAGATCCAGCTGAAGAGTTATGCCAAGAAGAAAAAATATTGTACAAATTAATTTCTGGTCTTCACTCATCTATTTCGATCCACATAGCTTCTGATTATCTACTTGATGAAGCCACAAACTTGGTATAAATTCTCAATTTCTTGTAACTCAATACTTGTCTTTTGCTCATTTATAAACTTGATTAATAGGTGCACAATAATGTTACAAAGATCTAACATTGTTTCTTTATTTTTATTTTCCTTATCAGTGGGGCCATAATCTCAAATTAATGTATGATCGGGTTTTAAGATATCCAAATCGTGTTGAAAACTTGTACTTCACTTTCCTCTTTGTCCTTCGAGCTGTGACAAAGGTGAGTAGCAAGAGTACATAATGAATCTGTTTGTGTACTTAAAGAGCCTAGCATAAAAGTAGGCAAAAACAAAAATACATGTTGACCAAGTACTTGATAAATCTATATATACTTGTCAAGTATTTATTTATTCTGGTGTTGTTTTACTAGAACTTGCTTGATGCATTTCAGGCAGCTGATTACTTGGAACAAGCTGAATATGATACTGGTAATCCAACTGAGGACCTAAAAACGCAGTCCCTGATGAGACAGCTACTTTATAATCCAAAATTGCAAGCTGCATGCCCGCTTCCATTTGATGAAGCTAAATTGTGGAAAGGACAAAAAGGACCCGAGCTGAAACAAAAAATACAAGCACAATTCAAAAATATCAGGTTTCTCTAATTTCCTCTTTGGCAATGCTTGTTAAAAGCTGCAGTTTCTTATTTCTGCATTACATTATTTAACATATAAACGAGAAACCATATTTACTTAAAACAAATTTGTGTTGGCACATTAAGACAATTCTGAATTCATTCAAAACTCGACTTTGTCAAGAGAAAATGAACTATGAAATTGTGTTTTCACCTTCTCTCTAGGTTCTTAGTAAGCTCACTAGCAGAGAAGCTTTAACTAACTGTTTCTTCTATCTCTTTGATTTTTGACCTTTGATATCTGTGCCACTAATTTAAGAGGCTTATTGCAATGGTGTAACAATTGCCATTGGTTTTGCAGTGCCTTGATGGACTGTGTAGGGTGTGAGAAATGTCGACTTTGGGGAAAGCTTCAGGTTCTTGGTCTTGGAACTGCATTGAAGATTCTGTTCTCTGTTAATGGAGAGGATCACTCGGGTCAGACAGTAAGTATCCTACTTTTGACTTTCAATTTTCAGCTCTAATTTCTTTCTATTGGATGATCAAACATTCAAAGTTGCTTTATTATCAAGGATCCTTTTCCAACTGTAGTAGCTAGAATTTTTGCTTATATGAAATGCTTTTTAAGTCTATGAAATTCCAGGGATTCTGACGTACAATATGGTATCATATATGACATGTGCGGTGAAGTCCTAGAAACATCTAAAGTAACTTCATTTTCTGTTGTTTTGCTAATTGTGCAATAATGCAAAATTCCTTTGTTGAGAATCATCTATTTGAATATACACACTAAAATATTTTCATATTGCTTTGAACTTGATGAGTCCAGGACAAATAGTAGCTATGAGCTTCTCAAAGTTGGTATATACATGGCTAGTTCGATCTACCAGTTCAATTGGAACTGGTTAAATTTGTCGCAGGAATGAATGCTATTTTGGGTTCACCGTTGTGGTTGATATGTTTTCCATCTTGTTTATTGTGCACAATTTATCTATATATTTTCAATAAAATGGCCTATGCGAATGCCATTGTTTGAACATGGAAAATGGTTTTGATCCCTACAAAGATCATTTTTTAAGTTATCTCTATGAAGCTGGTGCTTTTATCATCATATTGTGGAATATATCTAGGTTTCCGTTGGCAACTAGTTGTAAGTTTATTTGTCCAAAGTACATGTTATTTCTTCTTTTCATGGGTATAGAAGTTTTCATTCACACTGTTGTTCATTTTCTTGACCCTTAGTTGCAATTGCAACGGAATGAAGTGATTGCCCTGATGAATCTACTCAATCGACTATCTGAGTCTGTAAAATTTGTCCATGAAATGGGCCCGGCAGCTGAAAAACTCATTGAAGGAAAGATATCTTCTCCTAATAGGCTGAATAGCGTAGTGCAAAGGATATGGGCATCAATTGTTAAGATATAGGTAAGACCGTAAGACAAACTTTTTTTGACGTCCTGGTCTGTGCAACGGGTTTTGCCTTACTACATGTCTGTAATGTCTGTAATGTCCAAGTTATTGACGTCCTGGATTTTGATTTTGCCTTGCCGCATGCGTTTGTGCTGCTTTGCAGGTGATGATAACAAGAGTATGGCAATTCAACTGCAAAAATCCACATATTCCGTTCGAAAGATAGATTAGTGTTTTGGAGAAATAAGAGCGTAGAAAGTGTACAATGAACTGTTTTGCTATATTTGCAGATTTTGAAATCTAATGCAAACAAAACTAGAAAAGTACTATAACAGAGAAATTGAAATTATCCTGAGCAACTGCTTTCGAGGTCATAATAATTTGTTTATTGTGATTATCTTCGTTTATTTTAAGATTTTTTACTAGAAGGTAAAATTCAGTGCATTGAGTAGTCTTCACAAGTATGATGTGTGAAAGTTAATTGTCTGTAATTTTACACAAGCTAGATCTCGGAAACTGTATTACAGATTATGATTTATGAACCGAGTTTATAAGGAAATAAACCCTTTTCTAAAAACCAAATATAAACACTGTTTTGAAAGTTGATGTTTTTGCACCCTTATATTTTGCTTCATGAATGGTACATGTATTTATCATTCAAAGAATAAATTTTCATCTCTTCTCTCTCAAATGTATAAAAGAAAAAAGAAAAAAGGTAAATCCTTTATTACCTTTTGGCTATGAAAGCAGAGTCCGTCCATTCCCAGAATGCTTGGGTTCAACCAATTCTATACATGATAATCGAATAGAGTAGAACATAGATGCTCTAGAGTTATGAGCCTTCTTTTTACTTTCTGTTCATTTTAAAAGGGAAATGAAAGATAGCCTCCTCGTTTCATTGAGATCAGCTTATGCTTTCAAGCAGACTATAACAAATCATCAAGAAAAGCATGCTCTGCAATTCCAATTTGGATCTCACATGTTAGCAAATTTTGAAGCAGTAATCCATGTAAGACGGTGGATAATACCCTGTTATCAACTCTGGATGAAAGCACATCGACAGTTAAGAATGCTATTAGATCGACTGTGATACAAAGTGCCGACACCATAAATGTGATTGCGTTTTAGACAATGAAGTAAGACGTCCTTATGTTACATAAAATACAGAACACTGATGAAAATTGGAAATCCTGATCGGTCCCTGTTGTTTTTGGCCTCTGCTTGCTCATGCAGGCGTCTAGAGAGATATTTCTTATGTGGATGCAGGGAAGTAATAAAATCCCAGGGCCATCACATAATCTGCAAATAGGCATACGTAAATTGTAAATCTATTTGTCCACTTAAGAAAAATGAGGATGGGTATTGCTGACAACTCAACAAACTGTCAATTGGGCAACATGATGCATCTTGAACTTGCATTTATAAATTCAGCAGAGCTAAAAGCACAATGTTAACGGATATAACATTGTGTATAAGATTAGGCTCAAATCTTACCATTTGCTTAACGAGACTTCTTTAGTCGTTTAGGGGGCCTCATTTTCTCTTTCTTCAAATCATCAGGACTTTTAACATCGATAAATGGCTGCAAACAGTGAGAAAATTATTATGATAGAGGAATACTACTATTACCATAAACATATAGCCACGAAAATGCTCATATTATAGAATGAAGGAAGAGGAATGCATGCTACAGTTGAACCTAGGAGATCCAAAGACCAAAAAGCAACTAGAATAATTAATTGTAGTAAGGTCGAAGAAAATCATATGTTTAGAAGTTAAGAGTTTTGCTCTATATTTATCAAAATTGATGAGAAGAAAGTGTTGCTCAAAAGGTACATAAAGGAAATACCTCGTCCCACTTTTTCTGAAGCTCCAGAAGTTCTTGACAGTATGCAAGGCATTCTGCATGGTATACAGCAGCTAACTCTTTTATTAAGGCCTTCCTCTTGATGATGCCAATCACTGCATAAACATATATATTTTTTGAGATATAGTGAAACACAGAGAGTCAAGGTTCATAGAAGAAATTCATTAAAAGCCTATATCAAGGATAATCACGAAATACTAAAATCCTCCCTAGCCAAATAACCCTAAACCCATTAACAAAGCTACCACTCTGGTTGACTAAAGGTATGTTTACCGACAACCCTTGCTCTCATCAACACCATAATAGCTTTTATTTTCAACCATTGAAATTGAAGTAATTGAAATGCTTAAAATTACCATAAATGCTTATGAATTTAAACCAATGTAGCTTCTTCCTTTTTTTTTCATGAAGCAACTGGCTGAAAGAATTAATCAATCACTAGTCTTGAAAAGGCTCAGTCCTTAGCATAAAACTAAGGTCACTTCTCAAACAGATTAATACCTAGGTTAAAGCAGTAGAATTAAGCCAATCCAGATAGCACCAGTACACCAAGAGATAATTTCAACAAATAATTTGAGCTAAACTGCTATAAACACACTTCAGAATCGATTACTCAGCACTTTGAAACCAAAATTTAAAACTCTACCAACACAGCATCATAGAAAGCAGATACCAAAAATAAAAAATAAAAATTCACGATATCTTTTCTCAAAATTAAAAACCAAGCAATACCTATTAAAAATCACTCCTTTTAATCCAAATCGACTAACCAACAGAAAACCCAAATTAACAATGTAAACCCATAACAGAAAACATGAACCAAAGGAATCAAAACCCTTAAAAGAAAAAACAAAGAAAATCCAGAAAGCAAAAATAACAGGGAAAAAAAGTTACTTCGACTGGGATCGAATGGAGGAGGAGGCTGATCTGGCTGAGAAGCGGGAGCAGGAGAAGGCTGTTTCCGTTCTTGGCTCATAGCTTGGTGTTTGAAGATTGGTTTTTTGGTTTGCCCAGAAGAAAAGAAGTTTAAAAAGTTAACCCAGTCCAAGGTTTCTTCTGTTATTACTATGCAGAAGATGCCACACAGTTTCAGAGCTTTGCTTCTATTTATTTACTTGGTTTAGTGCTTTTTCTGTTACGTAGTTGATGGAACAATAAGAAACCAAAACTGATGAACTGGGTTTTTGTTTTTGGATTCTCAATTTCGGCTTCGGCCTCTTTAACAAAGTCCACATTTTTTGCAACTCCATGCTCTGGTCTAGTCCTTGTTTGAGCCTGGAAATAACTACGACAGAGGTTTGGAATGTTAAAAAAAAAAGAATATTGAAAAGAAAATAAAAAAATATTTTAACCACAAAAAATTATAATATAGAGCTCAATGCCCCAATCACCTTTGCTTACGCCTTGTCATCAATATAAATGAAAAATTAAATATTCAAATAAATAATATCATTTTTATTATAAATATGAAAAATTATTTCATACTAAAACTTTTAAACTCTATCGTTCTTCTTTAATTTATTTATGAAGTTTGAAGTTCCACTTAGTATGAAAAATAAATTTATAAACATGTTGAAATTATTAAATAAAAATATATTATACGTACTTAATGACTAATCATTAGAAAATAATTCAAATATTATTTTTTAATAAATAAAAAATTATACATTAATCATTAAATTAAATATTTGATTGTACTAATAATTGATATTTTATATTCTTTGATTTGCAAAATTTGAGGTAAATAAAATTTTAAGTTTAAACAAAAATATATTATATTGAATAATTTAAAATAAATAATTATAAATTATATATGCTATAAAATTTTAATAAATAATAACCGATAAAATTTAAATTTAAATTTTTTTTTATTGAGAAAAATAAATTTTAACCTACACCCAATCATTTATTGATATTAATATTTTATATTCAATAAAAACGGTATTCACGTTTTGATGTTTTGATAATTGACAATACCTACTTAGGACTTTATGAAAATTGTTACTGTGATAACTAACAAACTATCTTTTTTATTTATTTATTTTTTTGCAACAACTATTGTTGTTAACTAAATGCAAATTTATTTTTTGTGTTACAGCAATTATAGTATTTTTTAATTAATTTTCAAATAATTTTAAAGAATTGACTTTACCCTATTACACATACTTAAACCCAAACTGTAAACCCTTGCATCTCACTCTTCCTTCCGATCCAAAAACCCCAACGCCACCGCCATGTCCCTTATAGCAGGCTCCTACGAACGTTTCATTTGGGGTTTCAAACTAAAACCCTTAACCCACGACCCTTCTTCTCAATCCCTTGCTCTTACCCAACTCTTCTCCTACCCGTCCCACATCGCCCCCATAACCACCGTAGCCGCCGCCGGTCCGGCCGCTGCATCCGGCTCCTCCGATGATACCATCCACATCTACGACCTCTCCTCCGCCGCTTCCCTTGGTCCTCTTCACCACTTTTCCTCTTCCATCACTTCCCTCTCCTTCTACTCCCCTCCGAACCTGTCCTTCCCTCGCAACCTCATCTCGGCGTCTGCTGATGGCTCCATCTCCATCTTTGACACCGAACCCTTTGTTCTTCTCAAGTCCTTCAGGTCCCATAAAAAGGGTATCAATGATTTGGCTGTTCATCCTTCTGGGAAGCTTGCTTTGAGTGTTTCGCGTGATGGGTGTTTGGCTATGTCGAATTTGATGAGAGGGAAAAGGAGCTTTTGTTGTAGGTTGGGAAAAGAAGCGACGATCGTTAAATTTGATGGCAGTGGAGAGAGGTTTTTTATGGTTTCTGAGGAGAAAATTGGAGTTCATTTGGCTGAAGATGCTAGGTTGTTGTTTGAGTTGGAGAATGAAAAACGAGTTCTTTGTGCTGCTCCTGGAGAGGTTAATTTCTTTTTAATTTTAATTTAAAACTAACCTTTTATATAGTTATTACAATTGTTGGTTCATGGGTGAGGAAATGGAGGAAAAGGATGAATTTTGGGTAGAAAATTTAATGCTTTAAAATGTCTAGAGAGTTATATACAAATGCAATTGTGTTAGGAATTGAATATTTTGGTGGTGGGCTGGTAGTGTTTAGGTGTTCTTTTATTGGTTGATTGAATTGAGTAATTTTTTATGTTCTGCATAAAAGTTGATAGAAGAAGAGGTAAAAAGTTAAAAGCTACAAGCTCAATTCATTCACCTTGTAGCTGAACCATTTTTTGGTACAAATCTACTGCTTTATATTAATTGGCAAATAAAGTATGTTAGTAGCGTCTTAGAAGATTGAATAACGTGATTTTGATGGAGCATAGTTTTAGTTCAAAGATAAGCTGTTTTTGAGATGTCAGAATTTTTCCAAAGCTTAGTGAATTCACACCTAAAGGAAGAATGTTATAGTGGATGAACTTCTAGGATGCTGGTGTTGCTTAATCTATGATTCTGGCAAATTTCTCTCTTGTGCTGCTTGTTCCATACTTCCATGATGCGTGTTTATTGTTCTTTGGTTATTTATAACTTGAATTCTAAAGGCATATTATGATTTTGCCAGAGTGGAATTTTATATACTGGTGGTGAGAGCCGTAGTATTACAGCATGGGACACAAACAGTGGTAAGGTTGCTTATTGCATTGAGGATGCACATTCTACCCGTGTAAAAGGAATTGTTGTGCTGACCAAAGATGGCGGTGTTGATGATGATCCATATTTAGTGGCATCTGCATCATCTGATGGATTTATACGTGCTTGGGATGTTCGCATGGCCATCAAGGGGAAGCCAAATCCATTGGCTGAGGCTAATACAAAGTCCAGGCTGACTTGTCTTGCTGGATCATCTGTCAAATGTGAGTATCTGCTTGCTCTTATATTCCTATTTATCTTTTCATCTGTCTAGTAAATTTATGGCCTTGCTTATATCTTTCATTGCCATCAATGTAACCATTCTAATTGTATCTGTGTGCTGTTGAAAATGATGGAATAATCTAATCTGAAATTCTTATGGGAACTTATTTTGGTGTGATTTGCCTCCTGGGTTCTATTAACTGCATTTCGAGTGTAAATATATGCAGTATTTGTGGTTCTTTTACTTCATAGTAACTTGTTTATGTTGACAATGATAGAAGATTATGATAATGAATGAGCTCAATAATCCGTCTTTTTCTCCCATTATTATATAAAATTGTGGTTATTCTGAATCTCTTGCTTGCTTTACTATTTATTGCAATTGCTATTCAATGATTCAGTATATCTCTCTTTGTCAGCTTCTAAACGACCACAGATTGGGAATAGTGCTCCTAAGGAAGAGGAGGATGTGGCAGAAGAAGTATAACAAATTGTGCAAGTGAACTTGACCACATAGAGGGGGTTTAAGACAAGTTGTGTAAGTGAACTTGACCACACAGAAGCGGTTTAAGAGTTCTCTCATGGTTGCTGAAAAGCTCCTGTCAGTATTGGGCCTTTTTGATCCAACGAATTAATTTTGACAATTCATCATTCTGTTCATATTGATTTTGAATCTTATGTTGTATCATTTTAATTTTAGCTAAACCTTATAAGCAAATTTTCCATTATTTATATGCATTTGATTGAATATGAAATCAAATTTAAGAAGTGGAGGTTAAAGTCTAATCACTTGGAGGAAAAGGGTAGCGAGAGAGAATCTTTAGGGTGGACTGTGAAGAACAATCAATATCAGTCCCCAAAATTTTGCATTTGGTCTTAAAACTGAAACGATACAAAGTAACCATATTTGGTTGTTCTAGGTATCAAATCATCATGAAAACAAATCCACAGCATCTATATAATCAAAATAGTGCGGCATAAGTGGGAATTGCCATCTCTTACAAATATCTCCAACAAACACTATCAGCTCACTATGGATCTCGTTCCAATGATTTGGTTTCATTCATATGTGAATAGAAATGCTGTTTATGCAAAGGGGAAAAGCATCCAATGTTTCCCAGAAAGTTACATAGAAGAGAGAAGCCGCCTCTTATCTTATACTTGCTTACTACACCATGCCCAAAGCAAAGTACTCATCCAAAATCAATCAGCAACTCTGACCGAAACAGAAGAAAAGCTCAGCACATAACAAAATCAGGGAAACTAGCATCAGCGATTCAAAGCATTGAACTAGTGTTTTAAGGGCAGAATTTCACAAGAATCCTAGATACAATACACATGCCTTGTGATTGTTGGTGGTATTTGGAGTAGAGATCTAAGATTAACCATTTACCATTGTACAAAGCACACTGTTTTGTACCCCAAAATGAATAAAATCCAATTATCAATGAAATACAGGCTCTCGGCTGTTCTCAGAATGGAGCTGGTCACCCCATTCAGCCAGGTTAAACCTGTAGTTATTCAATAAGGAAAGCAAACTAGTCCACTATTCAATATGGAAACCAAACTAGTACACTATTCAATCCCCTATCGATCTAACTCATTGAATGACCTCTACATGTAGGATACTCACAATTTTAGGCAGCGTAATAAAATTTTGGAAAGTAGGTACTTATAAAGGAATGAAAACCACAAATCAATACCAAAAGCTATCGCTGAAGTTCTAAAAGAAAACACACCTCCTAGGCACATGATGCTAGGAACTTGGGAAGAGCTTCAGGCATGTAATTTCTCATTGTAGGTTCCCCTATGAAAATGATGAAAGGCTGCCAGATATGTCTGACATTTGGAGCAGCATCAATGACAGCAACGGATATCCTGAGTATTTCAAGTTGGCTTACATATTGAAGTGAAATCCATAAGAAACCATGGAGAAAATTTACTACAAATGAAAAAATCCTTATCTTAGATGGCTCATAACAAAATGCACCAAAAAATGCCAGCTGATGAGTTGAACTTGTTACTGCTTCATTTTCTTCCTTGCTCTAACCTGTTTTGTGGCAGTATCTTCGGTGAAGATTTTCATGCAACATTATAAAAGTTAACTACTTGTGATCAGCACTTTCTAAAATCTATTATGAATACCATGGTGGACGAAATGAGCATTTAAGACACTTTCCCTTCACTGTGATCTCTGAACTCCTTGATTGAAAACTCCAGGATTCCTAATAAAGCATATATGTCATTTGCTTTTGGATGGGATTGATCAGCAACACGAAACTCATGTACGTGTCCATTTACTTGTAGCCAGCTACAGCCAGGGGTTTTCTTTAGTCCTTTCTCTTTAAGAAGTCTCCTCATTTTAGCAAATTTATCCCACTTGCCTGCAGCTGCATATATGTTTGAGAGTAAAACGTAATTTCCAGCATTTTCTGGTTCCATTGTTAATAGTTTCTCAGCAGCAGACTCCGCAAACTTGGTCTCGGAGTGCAGCTTACAGGCACTCAACAACGGGCCCCACACTCGAGTATCTGGTTTGAATGGCATTTCTTTAACAAGTTCTCTGGCTTCATTGATATGTCCAGCACGCCCTAGTAAATCCACCATGCAGGCATAGTGTTCTTGGTTTGGTTGGCAACCATACACTTCCCTCATCTCCTTAAAAAATTCCCGACCTTCTTTAACAAGGCCCGAATTGACACAAGCAGTCAGTAGCCCAAGAAAGGTAACTTGATCCAGTTTCAGATTCAAATGCTTCATCTGGTTATACAACTCACAACATTGTGACCAGTCCCCATGCTTAGCATGAGCACTGATCATCGAGTTCCATGTTATGATATCCTTACCATCAATTTTTTCTTCATCAAAAAGCTTTCTGGCCATAACTATGCATCCGCATTTTGCATAACTGATAAGAAGTGCTGAATTAACAGATGACAGCAAATTCAGACCAAACTTCAATGAGTATCCATGAAGGCATTTTACTTGTTCTAGTGACCCTATATTCACGAATGCAGGCAAGATGTTGATAACTGTTATGAAATCAGATTTAACTCCATCTGTTCTCATCCTGGAGAAAAGAGAAAGAGCATCAAGATTCTGATTATGGTTTACATATCCTTTGATCATTGAGCTCCATGAAACCACAGTTTTTATTGTTAGACTTTCAAAAATCTTTTGCGCATAAATCAAACAATCACATTGAAAATACATATCAATAAGAGAATTATGAACCGAAACTTGATAATCCGAACCGTTTCTCATCACATGAGCATGTATTTGTTTGCCCCATTTGATAGATTTCAACTGCCTAATCGAGGAAATAGCAGGAATAGCAGTAAACATATCATCTCTAACCCCCGAGGTTGCCATGCACCTCAAGTTTTCAAGTGATTCCTTGGGTTTTCCATGTTGATAACAAGCAGAAATCATTATATTCCAGACAACAAGATCCTTATCTGGCATCTTCTCAAATAACAATCTTGCACTTTTCAAACTACCTAGTTTTGAATACATTGACAACAAAGCAGTATTCACATACAAATCGTTACTTAAATCACTAACTAGAACCAAACTATGAAGAGCTTTTCCTGTACCCAATGAACCTAAGTCAACACTTGCCCCCAACAAATTAATAATAGAGACCACACTTCCACTTTGAGAAGCCTCAAAAATCAAACCTTTCCAATAACCCAAATCCTTAACAGGTTTTTCATCAACCACCTTTTGCTCAAATCCACTAAACCCACTGTAGAACTCCAACAAAGCATTACCCACAACCTCAAATGAATCAAAACCCAACTTTGCCAACTGCCCATGAACCATTTTTCCATACTCAACATCTAACAAATAAGAACAAGCTCTTAGAACAAAAGGGTAAGTCTTCTCATCAGGGAAAATGGATTTTTTTAGCACCATGTCCTTGTACACCAAAAGGGTCCTTTTATATTCGCCCAAAGTCGCTAAATTTCTTAAAATTGTGTTGTAAAGATGTGAACTTGGGTTGGTGATGGAATCAAAGAGTTGCAAACAGAGGTTAAGGATGCCAAAGTTGGCATAGGAATCAATGAGATGAGAGGAAACAGTTTGGTTCTGGTGGAGGCCATGGAGGATGAACCTTGCATGGATTTGTGGGAGATGGCGTGGTTTCTTGCATAGGTTTAATAGAGAGGAGAAGGTGCTGCTGAAAAGCCTTGTTTGAAAGGCCGAAAAGTGTGGGAATTGGTGGGTGAGAGAGCTGAGAAAATGCCTTGACCTTTGAGCGGGTAGCATTGGAAATGGATTTTGGAGGCCATGAATTTGCTTTTGTGTCATTTATAATTACTACTATAATTTTCCTCGCCAATAATTTGTTTCTTTTATTTTCTTTTGCTTTTTTTTTATTTATTATTTGGTTTGAAAAATATAGAGATAAAAGTATATGAAAAATACCAAAAGAAGGAAAATTTAAGAAAAAAAGTATAATATATAAAACAGTTTTTCTCTTTGCCTATAGGAAGACTTAACTTACGTCAATATAAAATTAAAAAATTTTATATTTTTAATTATTAAATTTAATAAATTCAAAGGTAAGATAATTAAGCAAAAAAAATTAATTTCATTTCTTGATATGTTGAAATCAATAATTAAAAACATATGAAATTTTATTTTTAGTAAGTTGAACCTTCCTCTACAGATCAAAAAGATTCTAATTTGCTTGTCCAAAGCAATCTTTCACTCCCGCTTCAATTAACGAATAAAAAACCCTGACTCCCATTTTCAAATCTCTCTTCACATTAGGTGAAATTATCTCTTTTTTTTGTTTCATTTTTCGTTTAATTTGATTTTCCTCTCGTTTTCAAGTTCTTTTTAGCTGATCAGAGCTTTAGAGATCGACGCAAGTTCGACTTTCTCGGTACGATTCTTCGTATTCGTTGTCTGGTTAAACGATAAAATGGGAGAGAAAAGAAAGTGAAAACAAGTTTTATTTTTTTGTCTTTTATTACTTAGATCATGAACACATTAATGTCAAAAAAAAAAAAAAAAACTGAATAAAGGTTATCAAATCAGATTTTTCTCTATTATTTTTTTATCTTTTACGCTAGGGTTTTAGATTCAGGATTGGTGAAATTATTATAGGTTTCGATTTGTAACTTTATGCTCTATTTGGTTGCTCGGAAATTGCAAAATAAGAGTTGTTAGATTCGGAGCTAAGATTAAGATCTATTTGATTTTAATTGGAGCTATACTTAGGGGTTTTGTAACCTAGTAATTAGGGAAGAAACTGATAAAGGAAAGAAAATGGAATGTGGGAATTAATACTGTAAAAGGTATGTGTCCAGAGAAATGTTGGAAGTGAACTGAATAATGAAGATGATGAAATGTAGAATGTAGTTGAATTATCTTCTATCATAGTTGAGGTTTAATACTGATTTTTTAAGTAAAAGTGCACAACTAGAAATAAGGATTTTCTTTCTGGTTTGGCTTGTGTAAAGGGTTGTGCTTTATTGCTTTTATTATTGTGTTGTCATATAGGAACTCAGAGGTTGCTTGAAAGGATTGCGCTATTTAGTGGAGTGGTAGAACATCACTGCTGAGATTCAGAAATGACGAATACAGATAGAGAGAGACACAGAGAAAGGGAAACAGGTTTTTGTTATCTATTTTAACTCTTGTTTTCTTTCTGGTCTTTGAGGCTTTTAGCCTTTTACTTCATACATTTGTTGCGTATGGTTTTATTTAAATTCATACACCGAACCTCACACACTACCAACTAGACAGATGCAGAGTCATGAATACACATGCCTGCCTGTCTTTGATTCATGAGCTCAAGCTCCATGTACATGTGAAAACTTAAACAACAAACATAGCTGATACAAAATACAAGTCCTTTGTTCTTTACATATGTCTACTACTTGCATTTTCAGCATTTGTCTTTGGGTGTGTTCATGCAAAAGTAAGTCAGTAAATTTGTTCATCCATGTGGCTGTGGCTGTGTCTGCACTTGCACTGCTTTCCTTGCATACAACCATGTAGTGTTGAGTCTTTTCTACTTGGGGAGTTGCGGCAGTGAGAGTAGTAGGTGGATTGAGGGCGTATTTTTTGAATTGGTTCTCAATAATCTCCATTAAGCAAAAAATTATCTGTTATATGTTGGATTAATCTTGGTTAAACTTAAAACTCATAAAATCGAAATGCATTGATTGTTGTGCTAACATCAGATGATTGGATGATATGTGGACAAGCATAAATACATATGTGTAGATGGGTCTGCCTTTCATTGCACCTTTGGCCCCATATTGGAAGTACTTTATTTTTGAAGTGGTAGCAAAGCTGTCTAGAATCATCTTCTATTTTATTTTGTTATCTAGGACTCTTTTTTGGTTTCTGTTTGCAACTTGCTATTTAGTCTGGTGAGCAACTAAACATTACCTCATTAATATTTTCTTGGTCTTGTTATGGTTGTTTTACAGCTTTTTATCTCTTTACTCAGCAAAGGCTTCCAGCTTGCAAACCTGTCCTTACTCCAGCATGGGTGAGAGCATGACAACACTCTTTAATACCTGAAATTTTCATTCATCTCTGGCTAGTATTTAGCTTGCAGTTTGGGATGTTGGCTGCTTTTATTGCTGATTATTATCTAATTTTATTGATGGATATCATCTTCATTTCTGCAGGTTATTACAATATTTTTGTTTACGGGTTTCATTTTCATTCCTGTTGGCCTTGTTACTTTGCGTGCTTCTCGTAGTGTAATTGTCCATTCTATGGCTCTTTCATCTTATGTGGCTATTTATTATAATTCTTTTTCAAGCATCCATTTTTATATTTAGAACATGCATGTAAATAACCATTTTTCTTTGATTGGTAGGTTGTTGAAATTGTGGAACGATATGATACTGAATGTGTGCCTGAGCCATTTAGAATTGATAAAGTTTCATATGTCCAGGACGACTCAATTCCCAAGAATTGTTCTCTTTCCTTGAAGGTAATATACTTCCTTTCTGCATTAACTATATCTTCAGTGTGAAAATTTTTGCTTCCTTTTCAAGTGTTCAAATATACCTTTAAGTTGGTGTGGTCATTTCAGTATATTCCCCTGACCATCTGGAGTTGCTATCATAAAGTGTCTTGCATTTCAATCTATGCCAAGCTATATCTTCAACTATTTCTTTCTCAGTCATTACAATGCATTACACTGCAGTAGAGACTGTCAGCAACTGAGTGTCTCTTTCTTTCTGGAAAAGTGCAAATTCTTGTCACAAAGCTTTTAAATTTACTATGAACTAAAACCTCTTGTTACCTATAGAAGTGGAGTTTATTGGAATTTTGAAGGGTAATTGAACTAACACATAGCCTTAAAGCATTTTTTATTCCTAGCTTGACTTCTTGTTGCTCTGCTGTGCTGTGTCTATCAAACTCAAAATAGTTAATGAATTAAATTAACTTTCTTTCTTATGAAATTAAAATTACTTTTGAGGAAGCTTAAAACATTTTCCTTTTACTTTTTCTTTCTTTTAAAGTATCCAACTGTTTGACTTCTGGTCATTTCTGCACTTTTCTGTAGATAGTATTTCTTTCTATCCTTTCACCATATCCTTAGCAAGTGAATTTTATTTTATGGAATGCTGGGAGAAACAACTACTCCCATCTAGTATGGGTGCATTATTCTTAGTAGAATACCATTCGTTAATACACTTCATGTGACTGGTTTTGGTAACGTTTCTTTGTTTATATACTTTAAGGATTGTGTTGAAAACTTTGATTCAATGTTGAATGCTTGTTCCTTTGTTTTTCTTTTTCATATTTGTTTATTTTGCGTCTATATCTTCTTTGTAGGTGCGCAAGTACATGAAAGCTCCAATTTACATTTACTATCAGCTCGATAATTATTATCAGAACCATCGACGGTGCGGGCTCTTTCACTTGATGAGTATAATGCTTTAGCTTGATCAACATTAATAAATTGATCCATTGCCATTGAATTGTTTAAATGAACTATTAAGGGGGTTGTTGCATTACTTTTGCTTTTGGCAGTCCATTGACCTTAAAATAATTATTCATGTTTGAGGCCCTGCTTATGATTTATTTTCTTTTTGCCTTAGTAGTTTACTTATTTAATCTAAATTCCAAAATTCTTGGTTTAATATCCTGTGTTTCTTCAATTTGCACTTCATTGGTTTAAATATTTCCCAGGTATGTCAAAAGCAGAAGTGATCGGCAACTCTTACATGGATGGAAGTATCATGCTACAAGTTCCTGTCAACCTGTAGAGTTCAACAATAATCAACCTATTGTTCCTTGTGGGTTGATAGCCTGGAGTTTATTTAATGATACATTTACATTTATTCGTGAGAGAGCAGAACTCAAGGTCAATAGGAAGAACATTGCCTGGAAGAGTGACCGGGATCACAAGTTTGGCAAGACTGTATATCCTTTCAATTTCCAAAATGGAACCTTGATTGGTGGTGGGAAGCTGAATCCAAGAATTCCTGTAAGTATTAGCTCTGTCTAGAGAGTTTTTACTGTGGTCTTTCTGATTCTTTTGTCTAGCACGAAATTACTTATTCAATGCTCAAAATACCTGTTTCCGAAGTAACCAATTGGCAGATATCCTGAAATAACCACTTTTCTTCTTTTCATTATGTCAATACAGCCTTTTCATTTTTAGTTATGTATTCAGCTAAAGCTTGAGACATGCAATAATCTTTCGGGTTTGTCTCTCTTGCTTTTTTTTTTTGGGCACCGGTGAATGGATGCATTATAGCTAAGCGATCAGGAGGATCTTATTGTATGGATGCGTACATCTGCTCTCCCTAGCTTCCGAAAATTGTATGGGAGAATTGAAGAGGATTTGGATGCAGATGATGTTGTAGTGGTCCACCTAATGAACAACTACAACACTTACGGTTTTGGCGGTAAAAAGAAGCTTGTTCTTTCAACATCAAGCTGGTTGGGGGGAAAGAATGACTTCCTTGGTCTTGCATGTGTCTTTGTTGGTTCTTCTTCTGTTATCCTTGCCATTGTCTTCATGCTACTACATCTAAAATCTCGAAGGTAAAAATTCAAGAGGTAATACACAACAATTTTGAATTCTCTACGCTTTCATCCATAGACTTACTATTATCTGGAATTCTGTTTCATTTACAAAATGTTAAGAGTTGCAATATTCTCTGCCTGGATATTCCCTTGTTTTCAGGTTTCTGAAAATGTTGTATGACACATTGTTTTTATAATGTGTTAATTAGCCATAATCTTTCCTTTTGCAGGCCTTATGGGGACCCGAGTTATTTACCATGGAACAGGAAAAGTTTTTCAGGATGATTCAAGAGATGAACTGCCATCTTACATTTAAACTTCAAACCAGTGAGTTCAAACTGTAATTCGGATGAATAGTTAGGAACAAAGGCAAGAGAAAAATGCAGTGTCAGTCAGCTGGTTATTTATGTTAATAGCTCGACAAAGGAATCATTATCAGGCCAGTGATATACGTGACAAATCAATATAAGATAAAAACTCTTTGAATTTTCCTTTACGTTGCATACAATAATGTTAATAAATACCCCTTTTCTCTGCATATTAGGGCTGATGTTAGGTCTCCAGTCCAAGTGGCCCTGCAAAACATGATTGGCTTTTGTTTTTCTGATTTATTATCTTATCTTCTCTTATATAGTAAACCCAACTTGTGAAAGAGACCAGAATATGCCACAATGTGTAGACACGTGCAGTAGTGTCCACTGCACGTGCCTCTATCCCACCAAGAGAAAATGAAATTTCAAAAAATAAAAAACCTAAAAAATAGATGTACCCAAGTACTTAGATCAGTGAAAGAGCTGAAGCAAACAACAATCTTCACTGACTGAAGCCGCGCCTTCCAAGTGGCTGCTTTCTCAATTTCTGTCAAAAACGCGTTGAAACTTCAAAACAGCAGCCAGTCGTGTTTGCTGACTTTTCGTCGTGTTTGCTAGGGAAATTGTGGACCGAACATATTTGTATTGGTTGATGAAGGTTAAGAGCATTGCTAATTATTTGGCACTGTTGGCACTGTCCATGAACTCTAACCATATAATTTTGTTGCAAATTTCTGCGTCCCAGGGTCTCATTTATTTCTTCCCTAATCCTTATCCATAAAATTATAGGTTGAAATTTGGTTTGTTGAACCTTACAAGGATGGACCAGTAATCTTATGGAAGGCATCCAATTGCCTCTTCCTTGGGGAACTTTCCATTTCTTGTCTTGATCAAACTGATGATGTAAGAGCTAACCTATTCAAAGTAATTTAATATAGAAACATACCCACAAAATGGTGTTTGACAAAAATTGACATTGAATCCCCAGTGAATTAGAAGGGAAAGCTTATGGTTGTTAACTTGTTATCATAGCGACTAATTCTAAATTGCACCCTTAAGAAAGGGGGAAAAAAAAAACTACCCAATAAACGTCAATTGACATATAAAATGATCTAGAAGATTTTCTTCGACCAACGAAATCTTCTTAAAAGATAGGATCGTAGTCAGACAGATCCTATTTATATCCCATGAAAATCTGTTTTCATTTTTTTCTTTTTTTGAAGTGCATATGAACTTCTTTTACGTGTCGTTTGGAAAATTAGAAAACTGTTAGGTAAAATGAAAAATAAATAAATAAAATAGAAAAGACAAAGTCAGAACCCAGATCATCGCTCACGTGGGTTAACCTCCATCTTTAAATATTCTTGTCTGTTGTAATCTGAATTGCCCAACAACTTCCAGTCTCTTTCCTTGATCTTTCCTTATTTTAAGCACTGTAACACTTCTTAATCTCGCTCTATATAAACGCTACTTTGATCTTCAAACACTCCCCAGCCAATTCCTCGGATATCAATATCTCCCTCTAGAGCCCCCCTAACAATCTTCTTTAACCACCAAAACTCATCATCGAAAAACCCAATCTTGATTAGCTTTTATCATCAGTTTTAAAGATGATGAAAGAGGTGGGATACAAGCAAAACTGGGGTGCAGTGGCACCTTCCCCTCTCATTTCCCCAAGAAAATGTTCAACTTGTCCAAGGCTAGAGACCATTCTTGAAGAAGGGTGTGAAAATCATACAGTTTTTTCAAAGAAAGTCTTCCTTTTTCTTCCCGTGGTCTTGTCTACCGTTTTCTATTTCTTGCTAAACGAAGATGTGTCTCTTTGTGCATGAACCTTCCAATGTTTTTGCTTGAAAGGGATTTGGAAAACAGTGGCTCTGTATGGATGATCTTCAAACAAAGGCTTGAAAGATAAAGAGTTTTGGGCTCATGATCAGAAGCATGGAAACGGACAAGCAAAAAATTCAATGCGAGATTAATGTTCAATAAGTTTATAGCATTGTAATCTGTGGGAGTATGAGATTCAGATGGGGTATGTAGTGTTTGGTGGGTAAATTTTCTTTGGAATGTTGCAAGTTTGTAAATCGTGTTTTTTTATATCAATCCAAACATCTCCTAGTCTCTGGTTTTTGAAAATTTATTATTTTAAGAGTATTTACCCAAAGTTATTGTGATTACCTGTTAGGATGTTGAAGTATTGAATGACAATAATGGTTATCATCCATCAAAATTTTTTTTTCTTGTTGGTTTTAAAGGCATGCAGCCCACCAGCCATCAAATCATAAATCTAATTGAAAGCATAGTACCACATTTGTGGAAATATTAAATGGAAGGTTATTTTTGGGATACTAAAAAATAAATGAACGAACAAATTTTGAACTTGGGGACTTTTTGGATAAGTAATGTATTTAATTTTCTTTTGAAAAAATTAAATGGAAGGTTGTTTTCGGATACTCAAAAATAAACGAATGAACAACATTTGAACTTGGGGTTTCGCTGAATGAGAACCAAACAAAATACGCGGTTAGAATTGTGTTTCTCCATCCCCTTTCCTGCTAAAGGTATGAAAACTTGGCCTAGATAAATTTAAGTTATTCCAAAAATATACTGCAAAAATTGAGCATCTGAACTTCTGAAGTATACGTACAAAGCCAGGTTGAAGAATCCAGATTTTCACCATAGAATTGAGCTAATTCTTTTACTTGCTTTTATCTTCTCCTAGACTTCTCCATTTCAATCGTGTTTGACATTTAGAAAATTCCTTAGAGCTAAAAGATCATTTACTGACATGATCCAACTATACATTTTCTTATGGCGGCAGGCCCAGTGGTTGCTTCTAGATGCCACTTAAAAAATTTCAGCATTAGATCATTGTATGACGACTCTTTCTTGACCTGGTTTGCCAACCTTGGAGCCTTGGAGATTACTCCAAGTTACAATTAATTTCCGTTTCCCCTTTTTCATAGTTAAATCAGAAAGGAAACTTTTACTTTGAAACCTTTTTTTTATTATTGTCCACTATAGAATTTTCCTGTGCACAAGACAAGGAATCTCACATTATTTTGACACCAAAATCATTAATTTCGGAATGGAATTTCGTAGTTTTGTGAAGTATGACTTATAACCACTACCATCCTTTGGATATGATTTTTGAGATTAAAATTCCTTATGTTAGACATCTTGAATTGTTGTGTTTGATTCTAGTTCTCTCTTTTGCGGCATATTCCCTGCTTATGTCTTGGCTTTGGCTTTGTTGGCATTTCTTTCTCCTTTTTCTGCTTCCTTAGCTGCCCTGCTTTTGTGGCAGCAGGAGATTATCCTGCTCCTGTTGGATTGAAGACGTTCATTTATCCAATAAATAAATAACATGAAGAAAAGAAGTTATAGTATTCCAGGGTCAATTGGTTTCTAAAGGACTGATTACGAGAAAAAAGGATACAAAATCATGAAACCTGAAACTATTAACTTTGAAGTGTACAGAAAGGGAACTTAGCATAATTTGTGCTAGCAAGCTCTACACATCGGCTATTTCTTTGTCAATTGATTTCCATTTTTGTGTTCCCCATCTTTCAAATTCCTCCCACAGATGTTTTGATGTCAAGCAGTGTACCGATACAACAAAACATAGAAGGACAAAGAAAGCAATACAGGGAGAAGAATAAAGACCCTCTTTGGCACGCGTACACTGCCACATTCCTCTTCGACAATGGTCTCCAACCTTGGAAAACTTGAAGGTTTCTGGTGAGATATCAGAAGGGCCGGTGCCATTTCACCCAAGTTTTGCATGTATCTAACGTCCTTCGCCATTCTTTGTATGCAACAAAAGCTTTTGACGACTCTTTCTTCTGATGCAAAAAGGCTTTGGAGAAAGAAAATGACTCTGATCAGGAAGCTTTTATTGAGCAATGGAAATGTTATTGCTCAAGAATTCCTTGGGAGAATCACTTGTGAAAAGCTAGCAATTATATAGTTTCATTAGGAGTTATCAAAACAGTAGGCGGTTGGTAACAACATTAGATTAATCTATAATGAGCGCAAAGGCCAGATAAGCTATGTCTTGAAATATAGGGACAGATAAAATTCAGACTGACAGAAAAGATAATTGGAGACAGCTGCTAAAATTAGGGCACCAGAATTTTAACTAAATGAATTAGAATAGGAAGAATCTGGTTTAATTAGAATATTACCTACCAAATTAGGACATGGACTTTAACCAAATGTGCTTGAGTATATTTTCCAAGGGACCCCATGTATAAACACAGCATGAGTCGTTGTCAAATAATAAAGTGGATGACTGTCTCAAGGGACTCCTTGCATATTATCAAATGAAAATGATAAGCAAATCTCAAATGGATGGTCTAATTTTTTTTTTATTAAATTTGTTTTTAGTTTAAAAAATGAAAGGTCTAACGACACCATCTTGTTGAAAGAAACTAGGACTTAAAGCAACCCTGATGATGGTCTAACAAAAAAAAATCATGTTAGACCGGCAATTTTCTTTTGATGATTCATTTGATGAATGATTAATGGGAAAGAAAACAGGAACAAAAGTTCTAACAATCATTCTTTTCATAAAACTTTTTGTACTCTTAATAAATTGGAGAAAGTTAAAATTAGCATTGCAGGCAAACGAAAAAAGTGCTTTTATATTGCTAAACAATTAATCAACTACCCGGTTTGCTTTCAAGAGCAATAAACATAGGCAGCTTAATTTCTAGCAGCCAAAACGAATTGGAATTTGAATCAATATTTTGATGAACTTGGAATGCGAATTGGTAGATAGGTATTAAGGTTAACCGTGCTCCTTTGGATGAAAATGTTCATTTAACCAATAAAAAAATAACAAGAAGAAGAAAAGTTAAGAGTATTAAGGTAAATTGTTTTCTAAAGGAATAATAAGGAGAAAAGGGATATATAATCATGAAAGCTGAAACTATTAACTTTAATATTAAGTGTACAGCTTGGGAACTTAACATAAAATTGTGCTAACATGATCCAATATAGGCTGTTTCTTTCCCAAATGATTCCTTTTTTGTGTTCCCCATCCTTCAAATTCCTCCCGCGGAGGTTTTGATGTCAAACAATGTACCTATACAACAAAACATAGAAGGACAAAGAGAGCAATACAGGGAGAAGAATAAAGACCCTCTTTGGCACTCGTACACTGCCACATTCATCTTCGGCGATCGTCTCCAATCTTGGACAACTTGAAGGTTTCTTGTGAGATATCAGAAGGGCTGGTGCCACTTCACCCAAGTTTTGCATGTATCTAATGTTCTTCGCCATTTTTTGTATGCAACAAAAGCTTTTGACAACTCTTTCTTCGAAGGCAAAAAGTCTGTGGAGAGAGAAAATGATGCTGATCACTGATCAGGAAGCTTGTATTGAGCAATGGAGATGTTATTACTCAAGAATTCTTGTGGAGAATCATTTGTGAAAACTTCGAACTATATAAAGTTTCATGGGGAGATATCAAAACAGCAGGCAGTTGGTAACAATGTTAGACTAATCTATAATAAGCGCTAAGGCCAGATAAGCTATGTCTTGAAATGTATAGAGACAGTTAAATTTCAGACTGAGAGCTAAATTTAGAACATTAAATTTTAACTAAATGAGTTAGAATACGAAAGAATCTCCTAAAATCAGAACATTACTGACCAAATTACAACATGGATTTTAACCAACAGTGCCTGATCATATAGGATAAAAACAGCATAAGTCGTTGTCCATGTATATCCAATGAAAATGATAAGCAATCCTAAATGGATGGTCCAAAATTTTTATGTTACATTTTGTTGTTAGTTTGAAAAATGAAACCCTTAACAATTGTTTTTGTTGTGGATGAATTAACAGGACATTATCTGGTTGAAAGAAATTAGTACTTAAACAGTGCAAGTTCATTGCTTTTGAACAAGAATCAATGCCATTCTTTTTGCAAGACTTTGATGTTGTTGTACCCTTATATATAGTCTCCAATTTAGGAAATGTAAAGCATTTC